CTATAAACTCATTAGGGGGGACCAGAAGGGTTTGGGAGAGACCTTGTTTCCCCAAGCGCCCCCTGGCATAACAAGGAATAACAGCCACAAGTTGTTGGAGAGGAGGTTTAGATTAGACATCTGTAAGAACTACTTCAGTTAGGGCAGCTAGGATCTGGAACCAACTTCCAAGGGAAGTGGTGCTGGCTCCTACCCTGGGGCTCTTTAAGAAGAGGCTTGATGCCTACCTGGCTGGAGTCATCTGAGCCCAGTTTTTCTCCTGCCCAGGCAGGGGGTTGGACTTGAAGATATACAAGGTCCCTTCTGACCCTACTTCTATGATTCTATGAACCCATCACCAGAAACTAGTTCAGAACCGTGATGCTATCTGATAATTGTTAAATGATAATCTAAAATGTCATTTAAGATTGGGACACTAATTATCTTGGGAGGTCTGCCAAGAGTTTAATAGCAGGGATCTATAAGTCTTCATTTCTTTCACTGCTCCCTCATGCTGAGAGAGAGAGAGAGAGAATAAGGCAATCATTCTTTTTTAAATCTAGACAGTGTATTGATCTACAGAAACTAAGCTGCTCATCCTGGATATATAGTAACAAAGGTTAAATGTATTCAAAGATCATACTCTTCATTTTATGAGCACACAACTTTTAAATTAAAAATACAGATCTGACCATCTTTATTAAAGACATTCACTTAGTTTGTAAAAAAATTCTAACATACATAAAAGTTCAGACCAAGAAGTCAGAAGCAACAGAGGGTGTTTTGCACATACTACAATACAAATTTCAAGGTATACTTTTTAAATTGGCTTAATCTTGAAATGTAATCCAATAAGACTGAAGACTAGACATTTAAGGTCCTGGACCAGGTAGTAAAACACTCTTAATCCTTCTGGATCCCTGAAGTACAAGAAGAAAAGAAAAAAAAAAGTCCAGTTAGTTTGCATGTTTTTAAAAGCTGTGCCCTTGGAACCTGATACAGCCTCCCCCTGCCCCAAGAGATCTGCTTGAAATTCCACAATTCAATCTGATGTGGGGATTTAATCTCATGAATCCAGTAAATTAAATTGTGTCCTTCAGTCTAAGCATCAAGTCTAATTCACAAAGATTTTTCTTTAAAACATACACAACTTGTTTATCACTTACAAAAGTGTAAAAAACACTATTTTAAGATTTCTAGGAACAGGAGTTAAACCATTTAAGTGTCTTTTCGGTTTAAATTAGATGCAAATTCTAGATCCTATTGAAACCAAAGAATTTTTGCTATTGACTTCAGTGAAATAAGGTGTTTAGGGTTTTGGGTGTTTTTGGGGGGTGGGGGTTTGGTGTTACTCATAAATTTTCAAGCTTTTTTGTTCAAGAGGTAGTGTTTCAAAATACCTGAAACATTACTAAGTCACTGAAGTGGCATAAAATGGTTTGCTGTTTATTATGCCAGATTACAAGATAACGTGCCACTAAAATAACAAGATCCTCCAAAATACGGTGTTTTAAACAAAAGTGAATGCCTAATGTTCAGCACACATGAAAGTGCTCCTAATAAATTTAGGTATCTGTTGCAGCTACAAGAACGTTCCTGATGAAACAAGACCATTCTGGTAGAACAAGAAAAAAAATTCTAGGCAGAATACATACTTGGATTGGTTTACATCAATAAGTGAACCGATTTTTGATGTGGTAAAAGAAATGTGTTCATCACCGATGACAATTTCAAGCTCCTAGAAAATAAGCATTAAAAAGAAAAAAAAGTAAAAAAGCAGAACTGCTAGAAGATTGTATTGGTTAAAGGAATATTTTAAGCACTGAAATAAGGTTTTACGTTTCAAAAGCAAGTACTTTTGACACCAACACCTTTGGAGTAAACTGTTCTATTATACTGAACAGATATAAAATATCACTATTTACCTATCTGTTCAAAGGAATGATAACTTTTGATTAGTTTACAAATCAATTTTACACATTTATTCTGACCAACCAAAAACCCCCATACATAATAGAAGTACTAACACCAAAGTGGGGAACCTATTGCACACTAACCTGCCGACCAACTCTGTCAGGAGGGGGCCAGAGAGCATCGTCTTCTTTTGTTATTTCACTGTCATCAATTATTCTCTTCAGTTCCTCCATCACACTCTTGTGCACATAGGCCTAGAGGCAAGTTAAAATATTAACGTTACGTTATGCTACATGCATTATTTTTCTTTAGCACTAATGAAGCACTGTGTGTTGCACCAGATTCAGATAAGCATAAGCATTCCCCTGGACTAAGGGATACAACACCACTGAAACCAAATAAATTTAAAACCAAAAGACTGTTTATTAAGAACAACTGCCAAATCAAATTGTTTTTGGATGTTTGGGACTCCTGTAGTGTTGGGCCCACACAGATAAATAGCTGACACTAAACATTTATTCATCTTGGGTGACTTTTCCAGCATGGACAAAGTCAAAGACCACAGCTGTCACTATTACATGTTGATCAGAATGTGTCCCAAAGCAATACAATTATGGGTGTGGCAAAGCAATGAAATTATGAATAATGTCCTTAAACAGGCTACAGTACTTTTTGACGGAGAGAAATTGCACAGTGATCCTTATGGCCCTGTTACAGAGATAAGACTAAGTCCTAAAGTAAAGTGAGAGCAAAGGGAGAAAAGC